CACTCACTCACTCACAAGCTGGCAACAAAGGTCTCCCACCGCTCTCTAAATATGGCCAACCTTAGGATAGTGTTCCCTATGGGTTAAGCCCTAAAACTTCTCCTACTTCGTATTTTATTTTGCTTCTTTTCAGCGGATTATGAACATGTCATTTTACTGTGGAAAAGTTAATATCAATATTTTGCAGCAACGTACTATGTGCTTCAATGTCAGAAAAAGAATAAATTTAATAAAAAAAAATCTAAATATCATTGGTCATGAATCGCATTGTGATCCACAGGTGTACAGAAGTACTGATTTAGATCTCTTTTTTGTAAGTAATGAACCACCCGTAGGATATATGTATTCATCTTTGTTTATCAATGTCGTCCAGACTGTAGTTACGGCCTGCAGACTGGATTCATGAGTGACTCACGCCTTAGCAGCAGTTCTGTGCTAAACAGTAATTTTGTGGCGCCTTATGGAAGACTTCGAAACAGAACGAGCGCTTGGTGCGCGAGAGGGTATGAACGCAGTTTATTACACTTGCTCCCAAACTACAACATTAGTGCTAGCAGGCAGTGGCAAATTCTTGAGAATTTATCCTACTAGCATTGACAAACAACTCGAGAGTTTTTCTTGTCATCTGTTTACAGATATTTTTGGAGTATCACATCGGACAGCGACCCATAAAAAATTATGAACGATAATTCTTATCATTTCTAGGGGTGACACAAATCCATACTTTCAAGTTGACCTGGGCTACGCGGACGAAATAAAAGGCGTGGCTACCCAGGGACAGGAAGCTGACTACTGGTTTGTGCGCAAGTTCACATTGAGTTTTAGTCTGGATGGTTCTGCATGGTTGAATTACACAGAAAATGGACTAGGTACTAAGGTACGAGAGACAAATATATTATCACTGTCCTCTCTTCAAACGACTTGCCTGCATTCAAAGTTTCACAGACAATTTGGCGTCCAGTATGTTATATTTATCTTAAGTTATTTTTGTTGCCAACGGTCGGGGTAGTGGATTCCACTTGTAATATCATGTACGGTGTTCGTTAAGGGGAATAGAGCTTGAGGTTGCTGTTTTTTTTTTTTCTTTTAATGAGATATAAAGAAAATGGAATACTTGAAGCAAAAGAAGTGGAAAAGAACTTTCCACATTTTAACAGGTAAACTGAAGCTTGCCCGTCGACACTGGCAACTGCAAGGTTACTCAAACGCAAAAACAAAACAACAACAACAAATTCATCGCACTTAACAAGAATGCTAGTTCATCAACGCGAGTACTCAAGAACAACGAAATAGCAGGAACAGAATGTCCCAAAATTAACGACATAAGAAAAAATGTTCTCTTGTTTTGTATGTCTGATATCTGTTTATTCGATCTTGTGGACTACACTCTTACGTCTAATTTAATTTGTGAACCACATTTCAGGTATTCGATGGCACCACACATCCACTGCTGGTAAAGCCCAGTCCGATAGAACCCTCTGTGATTGCTCGGTATGTCCGAATTAACCCGGTGCAGTGGTATCAGAAGCCATGCCTTAGAATGGAGTTGTACAGATGTTCACTTAGAAATGGTAACATATTGCTTCAGAGATTTACAGACGTAAAGATTAATCTGTGTTTTTGAGTTTTCATGGTCTGGTCATTTGAAATGTAAAGATTGGCATTCAGATGGCCAAAAAAATGTAAGCTTCAAACACAAGCACAACATCATTAAATACTTCAGAGTCGATTGATTTTAAGCCTCAATTCCTACTATCTTTTCTTTTTAATCAAACTGTGAAGGTCTTTGGACGTTTTAGTTTCATACACTTTTTTTTCATTTTCCCTATCTGGAACTAGCCTTGACGAGCCACAGACAATTAAAATCGATAGAAACCTGCATGGCAAGAAGGTAGTAAAAGGCAGATACGATTTACTGACACAAAGACTATGTGCATCGCTTTCTGTTGATCTTTTGAAATAATTGTTTCTGATTGGTTTGCCTATCGGTTTTTTGGTGGTTTGCAGTCACGTGATAAAAACTGCTTTCTTGGTCATGATGAATTGAATTAGGTAGAATTGCAAAATTAGGCAAACAAAGAACATAACCTTACAAAATTCCAAGGTCAGAAAGTTCTGAGTGATTGAAAATGTTAATTTTGGCCAATTAGGAAACTTTCCAACAAATGTCTTATTGCATGCATCTTAAGACTCGTTTAAACTGTTTGCTTCTACACTGATAATGTTATTGTTGTTGTTGTTGTTGATATTGTTCCGTTGCATATATTTTCAGCTGATCCTTACGAGCTCTGACATATTAAGACGAAGAAACGTCGATAATACGGCAAGCCAAGATTCGAGGGTATTTCAACATGTGTCACACAAAATAAAGTCCAGAACCTGCTTTGCACCTGTTGGGATTTACAGGCCTGTAACGGAACTTACACCACGACTTGAGGAGAGATCGAGTGAGCTGTAATTACATCGTGGGCCATGGGTTAACCTACAGGGAAAATACAGAAACTCAAAGAATTTAATGTTGCTTTTTACTTATGAAATAAGTCAGTAGACAGAGTAACGGACGTGACCATCAGAGACCCTCTGGGGAAAAAGGAAGGAAAGTTCCTCGTACCTTCTGAATGGACCTTTAAAAAACAATGGATCTCGTAAAATTTTCACAGGTCGCCGGGACCGTTTTTTTACGCAATTTAAAAAGCCAAAAATGTCTCCGGCTCAAAAAGAATAATGCAAGTCTTGCATTTGCCATTCATAACCTCTAAATCTCGAAGTTTCAATATTCGGCACGCTAAATCTTTTATTTCCAAATTTGGAATTTTCAAAATTTGCATTTGGTAGGCGAAATCTTGAATTTCCAAATCCAGAATTTTCAATCTTTGGCAAATCAAATCTTGAATTTCCAAATTTTAAATTTTCAATATTTGATAGGCCAAATCTTAAATGTCCAAATCTTGAATTTTTAATATTTGGCAAGCCAATTCTTGAATTTCCAAATTTTGAATTTTCAATATTCGGCAGGCGAAATCTGGAATGTCCAAATGTCGAATTTTCAATATTTGACAAGCCAAATCTTCAATTTCGAAATCTTCAATTTTCAAATCTTGAACTGTCATATTTGGCAGGGAAGATCTTGAATTTTCAATATTTGGCATCCCAAATCCTAAATTTTTAATATCAAACAAGCCAAATCTTGACAAGCCAAATCTTGAATCTCCAAATCTCGAAGTTTCAATATTGGGCATAACAAATCCTGAAGTTTCAATATTTGGCAAGCCAAATCTTAAATTTCCAAATCTTGAAGTTTCAATGTTTAGCAAGAAAAGTCTTGAATTTCCAAATCAAGGAGTACGTAGTGAATGGTCTCTCAAACACCGTGGGCCTCGCAAAATTTTCGTCGAATTTCACAAGTCTTTAAGTTCCGCTTTTGAAAGCACTTACAAGTCCGGCCTCACAATTTAAAAAGTCACCAATATCTCGGGCGCGACAAATAAAACGTTGATATCACAATTACCATTCACCACCTTTACAAAGGCTAGGTATTCAGAACAAACAGGCGATTTTTTCTCAAGTTAATTTTTTTAGGTTACGAAAACACGTTACACTTTGGTAATAGTATCTAGAGAACTGAAGTAATGTTCTAAAAATGTATTCATTTTATGTACAAAAGCACTCGATGACAATTTACTGTACTGTAGTCACAAAGCTCTTATTTCTGGGCCTGCTTTAGCTTCTGGTATCTTTTTAAAAGTCGAATAAAACTTGAGCTACAACTTTATCGGTATTCTTTGGAATCGATCAAATTTTTCAGGCATGCATGCTTTCTCCTTTCACTTAGGACTCCCGCAATCATACGCTGCACAGCGCAGTTCTACGGCTGTTTTTACGTTCTATGGTATGAGGCACTATCAAACTTATTTAGAACCAGTATTTTCTATTGAAGGAAAGTAGATTCTCAGTTTATTTCACTGAGAATATTCGAGATGCCTTTCCCACTACTCATTAAAACTTAAAATTTGATTCAAGAGTACATATTTGATGTTCCTTCTAGAGAAAAGTGAATTGAAAATATAAAAATGTGCGATTTCTTTCCTATAGGGAGACAAAACTCACAGAAGATAAAGTATAAAACAGCAATAAAAAAAACCGTCTAAAAAGGTTGCCTCTCTCAGGAAAAAAGGTTTCAAGCGCCGCAGAAAATAAAATCTGCAGAACAGGAACTCGGTAAACAGCAGCTGTTTCAGTAACGCCCTTCATGCTATTTTTCTGTTGTAATATTTTCTCGTACCTTTAATGAATGAATAAAAACAAATTAAATAGATCTCTCCACTTTGAATTGTTCGTAATAATAAGAACAAACAACATAATGGACAAGTCGGTCAACATTCCCATAGTTTTATCTGTTGCCAGTAAAGATAACCCTCCTTCAACGGTTGGTGGTACAAATTACCCATATAGCTATCATGGTCGAAGCAGGCCTAC